GCAATAAACGCAAACTGATTTGTATTCTCCAAATAATGTTGGAATACTACCAATGCGTAAACATTTCTTATTTGTTCCTTCTTAAAAACATTTTTTTTTCAAAGTGGTCTGAACATAATAAAGAATGATTCTTTGGTACAAACTTTGATCCGAGATTCATGTTCTGCAACCATAACTGCAATATTTCCTTATCTTTCAGAGGAAACCTTCACAAAAATATTCCACAATATTAATTTTGAAAAAGATATGACATTAAATGCAATAAAAAATTTACATAACCTGTAAGGCATAAATATGTGGATATGTAACTTATATACTTACTTATGATGTGTTCTACCCTCGATCCCTTGTTTTGAACCACAATATGTACACGATGATACCATTTTTGTAGCATGAGTAAAAATTTTGTTCAACTAACTCGATACGACGTACATACGACAGTTGGAATCTCAACCTCAACTGACCTCAACAGTGGACGCTACCATATTTGCATATTTTACTTTATCAAAGATGGCTACCGTAACAAGCTGTCCTATTCGATACGCCATCCAGTGTAATATAGAGATCAGTGATTGGTGTGGACAGCACGTTCAATTTTTTCAGGTGCTCGTGAACTCATCGCAAACTTTTTCTACGAACTGTTCGCGAACTGTTCAAATAATGTTTGTGATCAGTTTGCGAACAGTTCGTCAACACGGTTCGCGAACTGTTCGTAAACTGTTTCCCGGTGAAGACACACCTTAAGAGACGTCTTCCTTGACAACGGCTGTGATTATAGAGAGGGTCCCAACTGCCTACATTCCCATTTGCCAACAGTTTCATTTGCCTACAACATTTTGCCAACAGCTTCGATTGCCGACATTCCCAATTGCCTACAGAGCGATTGCCTACAAGCATTATTGTGCACATGCAAAAATTAAAAATACAAATGTACGTTTGCACATATGACATTATTACGCACATACACATTGCGCACATGACATTATTGCGCACATGACATTATTGCGCACATACACATTGCACACATGACATTATTGCGCATATACACATTGTACACATGGTATTATTGCACACATGAAATAAGGAAATCAACAGATACACAGTACTCAAAGGTTTATAATTAGACGATTTTACGTGGGTTTGCAACTTTTCACGCGGAGCAAGGTTAAGTTCACATCACCCTGTGCTTCAGATGCGAAACGAGGTTTATATCATAAAGTCATGTGTGCAATTTGTATGTGCGCAATAATATTGTCTTGTGTGCAAACGTACGTTTGTATTTTTAATATTTACATATGCACAATAATGCTTGTAGGCAATTGAAGCTGTCGGCAAAATGTTGTAGGCAAACAAAGCTGTTGGCAAATGGGAATGTAGGCAGTTGAAGTCCTCTCCGTATTTTTTATTTTATGTGCGCAATAATATTATGTGTGCAATGTGTATGTGCGCAATAATATTATGTGTGCAATGTGTATGTGCGCAATAATGTCATGTGTGCAATATGTATGTGTGCAATAATGTCTTGTGTGCAAACGTACGTTTGTATTTTTAATTTTTAAATGTGCGCAATAATGCTTGTAGGCAATCGTTCTGTAGGCAACCAGGAATGTCGGCAATTGAAGCTGTCGGCAAAATGTTGTAGGCAAACGAAGCTGTTGGCAAATGGGAATGTAGGCAGTTGAACCCCTCTCTAATTATATTATTAAATCAATATTGGAAACAGAGACGAATCTCTCCAATAGGAGCAAGCGTCAAGATGGTTTTTGTTTTATTTATAATAAAAGGAATGTAACTAGGAATAGTTCTCTTGGAGACAGCGCAAGGACGAGACAAAATAAATTGATGTTAATTACATTTGTGAATTATTTTCTCGGCACCTACGAAACCTCTCTTATAGTAGTATTTTTTTTATACATATTAACTTGCTTTTATTTTTATATTATCATCATCAGAATTGTTTGATGAAAACAAAAACTCTGTAACAACAAGTGTTAAGTGACGTCGATTCAACATTTTACTTCAATGCTGCTTTATAACTAGAACCTAGGTCAGATTAAAACCATTTCGGGTTGAACACATGTTCAATCGGAAATTGGGTTTAATCGCTCTCGGAGCGAGTAAACCTATGCCAGTTAAAAATGCTATTAATATGTAATATTCCTATTCCTAAGGCCCTACGCACAATAGAAAAAATATTAGGAATAAGAATAAATATTAAACATTAGAAAGAACAAATTGGAATTATTTTACTTTGAACAAGGAAACGGAATGGATTAATTATTTCTAATTCCTATTACTTAGTTTATGATACGTTAATCCATTTCATTTTCTTGTTTTGAAATAAAATAATATCAATTTCCTACTTCTATTAGGGGTACAAATAAGTTTTAAAGCGTTTTTTCGAAAATTCAAGATTTTTTTACAGAAATTTAATAATACATTTAAGTATCAAAATATTCTCCGTTATTATCTATGACCTTGCGCCATCTTTCGGACAGCTTAC